AAACTGATTACATCTATGGGAAGAGGTAATGGAGAAGCTCATTATTATCAGCAAAACAAGGCCAGGACAGACTGTGGAACAGATCATCAATTGTTCATAAGGAAGTTCAGGTCTGAAGCTGAACAAAAAACAAGTTCAAGAGAGTCAAAATATAAATATATTCCACCTGAATTCAGAGATCATCTCAAGAACAGATTTGATGCATTAGACACTAATTACTGAAGACCAGAAGAGTTGTGGGATGACATCAAGAACATCATACAGGAAGAAAGCAAAAAGGTCATTAAAAAGACAAGAAAGAAAAAAAAAACAGATGGAACTTGCTCTTGACTATAGAGATGTAGTCAAAGTCATTAAAAAGACAAGAAAGAAAGAAAAAAACCTCAAAATGGAACTTGCTTTTGAGTGTAGAGATTCTAAAGCAGGTGAAAGAAATGAGGAAGCAAAAGAGCTGAACCAGAAAATTTCAAATACAGTTCGAGAAGATAAAGAAAAGCATTTTAATGAAACATGCAAAGACCTGGAGTTAGAAAACCAAGAGAAGATGAACATGCTCAGCATTTCTCAAGTTGACAGAACCAAAGAAAAAATTCAAGTCTCAACATGCCAATAGTGAAGGATTTTATGGGCAAAATATTGATTGATGTTGGTTGGTTGGTTATGTGCCGTGGAGTCAGTTCCAACACATAGTGATTCTGTACAGGGTTTCCGAGGCTGTAAATCTTTACAGGAGTAGAATGCCTCATCTTTCTCCCGCGGAACAGCTGGTAGTTTCAAACTGCTGACCTTGCGGTTCGCAGCCCAATTCGTAACCCCTATGCTACCAGAGCTCCTTCTTGATTGATGTAGGGAGCATCAAAAGAAGGTGGAAGAAATACACAGAGTCACTGTACCAAAAAGAACTGGTCCATGCTCAACCATTTCAAGAGGCAGCATTCGATCAGGAACTAATGATATTGAAGGAAGAAATTCAAGGAATTGATGGAGTACCAATTGAAATGTTTCAATAAACTGATGCTGCACTGGAGGAACTCACTCATCTGTGCCAAGAAATCTGGATGACAGCTACCTGGCCAACTGATCAGAAGATCCATATTTATGCCAATTCAAACAACAAAAAAAAGACCAAATGGAATGCAGAAATCATATCACATTAATATCAAAATCATGAATGTGAATATCACATGTAAATAAAATTTTGCTGAAGAATTTAAAAATGATTGCAGTAGTACATTGATAGGGAATGGCCAGAAAGTCAACCCAAATTCACATTGTTGTTGTTTGTTGTTCCGTGCCAACAAATTGGTTCCGACCCATAGTAATCCTGTATAGGGTTTCTGAGGATCATCTGGTGAGATTGAACCACTGACCTTGTGGTTCAAAGTACTCTGCAGTCCAGCACAGTAACCCACAGTGCCACACCAGGACTCCCAAATTCACACAGAACAAGGGATACCATTGATTACGTCAGATGGATCTTGACTAAGAGTAGAGAATACCAGAAGATGCTTACCTGTGCTTTATTGACAATGCCGAGGCTTTCAACTGTGTGAGTCATGACGAGCTATAGACAACATTGAGGAGAATGAGTATTCTGAAACCCTTAATTGTAATCACGAGGCACTTTTACATAGACCAAGAGACAGTCGTTCAAACAGAACAAGGGAACACTGAATGGTTTAAAATCAGGAAAGGAGTGTGCCAGGGTTGTATTCTTTCACCATACTCATTCAATCTGTATGCTGAATAAATAATCTGAGACGCTGGATTATATGAAGAAGAACATGGCATCAGGATTGGAGCAAGACTCATCAACAACCTACGATATGCAGATGACACAAATTTGCTTGCTCAAAGTGGAGAGGATTTGAAATATTTACTGATGAAGATCAAAGACTATAGTCTTCAGTATGGATTACACTTCAATGTAAAGAAAATGAAAATCCTCACAACTGGCCCAACAAATTTGTTGTTAAGTGCCGTCGAGTAGGATCTGACCCATAGCAACCCTATACAGGGTTTCCAAGGAGCGACTGGTGAGCTTGAACCGCCAACCTTGCAGTTCAAACAGCTTGGCAATCTGGCGCATTAACCCACAGCGCCACATGAGGCTCATGATAAATGGAGAAAAACTTGACATTGTCCAAGACTTCATTTTGCTTGGATCTACAATCAATATTCATGGAAGCAATACTCAAGGTATCAGACAATGTGTTTGTTGCATTAGGTAAATCTGCAAAAGACCTCTTTTAGAGTGTTAATGAGCAAAGACATGAGTTTGAGAATTAAGGTGTACTCGATCCAATCACCTCATATGCATGTCAAAGTTCAACAAAGAATAAAGAAGACCATAAGAGAATTGGTGCATTTGGATTATGATATTGCTAAAGAATACTGAAATTACCAGGAACTTCCAGAAGGACAAACAAGTCTATTGTAAAGAAGTATAGTCAGAATGCTCCTTCTTAGAAGTGAGGATGTCTAGACATTGCTTATCATACTTCAGACATGTGGTCAGGAGGGGCCAGTCCCTGGAGAAGGGTATCATGCTTGGTAAAGTGAAGGGTCAGCTAAAAAGAGGAAGACTCCCAACAAGATGAAATGACAAGAGGCAGCAACACTGGACTCAAACAAAACAATTGTGAGGATGGTGTAGGACGAGGCTCTATTTGTTGTGCATACGGTGTCTTTGAGTTGGAACAGACTTGACGATGGTACCTAACAACAACAAAATGATTCCTTTGTGTGTGACTGACAGGAGATAGTGCACATGTGGTGACCATGTCAATGAATTTGCCTTCTGTTTATTTTTTGGCTTTCCCTGAAACACTGTGAAAGCCAGAATCTGTGTAAATTAAAAACCTGTCAGAGAAGGACTCACGTCTTTTTCACTTGTGAGATCTGGAAAATCCAGACAGGTCCATCAAGTTCTGGCTCTCACAGGTTTCACTGCAGTCCCTACTTTGGGGGGATGCTTGAAGATTCGATGAGTCAATGAAAGCAAGGGGGTTAGAATGGAGTAAGTGCTCGTTACATGTTACTATTTGAGGGCCTGCACCCCTCTTCCATCCTGGCCCTTTGACCATCTCCTGCCCTGACATCCGGAGGCCCCTCTGGGTGGTCTGAGAGCCAGCGGGTGTGCTCTCCAACACCGTCAGGGGCATTGTCAGCAGCAGGGCACCTCTGTAGTCCAGGCTCTGCTCGACCCAGTTTGTCTTTAATAAAGGCTTGCTGATGAACAGCTGTGTTCATGAACGTCATCGGGAGATTCCAGTTATGGGGACCCTGGGGGGCTCCGGAAGCAGCTCCCAAGTATGTTTCCTTGACCTCCTCCTGTAAGAAATTCTCTGTTCCAGACACAAGTTAGCAGATGGCTGAGCAGGTGTCCCTCGGGTCAGTGTGATAGGGTATGTGCTGGTAATGTCCTGGCCTGCCCCCTCTCTCCTTTCTTTTCCTCTGCTCTCTTCATCACCCCCAAGGTCAAGGGAGCCAGGGAGGCGGGTAAGACTGTGCTCAGGGTCAGTTGGGTAGGCGGCGGAGGCAAGGGAGCAGGGGACTCATGCCTGTTCATGACCCTCCCCTTCTGACAAGGACTGGGGGCCAGGACTGTGGAGGCAACTGTTGTGGATGGAACAATATATCCTCAAGTTGTGGCCCCTGTGCCTGTGAGGAGGATCCTGCTTTGCTACGTGAATGAAGTCGTGCGGGAATGGGGTGGGCTCTAAACCCGATCACTTCTGAGTTATATAAAGAATAGCAGGTATGGATTTGAGTTTTAGAGTGCAGGGGGAGGTAGAATCCCCACTGAATAGTTTTCATCTTGTCTAGATGGGTCTGGTGAAAGGAGATGGGGAGAAGATTCTTATGATTCAATAGTGAGTAATTGTTATCGTGACTAATTGTGATTGTCACAACTGTAAAGGTAGAAGTTTTGTATAATAAAGTGGGGAGTAGATGTTACATTCCAGGAACAGAGGACCCTAGGACTATCAAGATAGAAGAGCATGAGCGCAATGTGGGACCCTAACTCGAGAAGCAGCCAAAGATGGAGTCAGAGGAAATGGCAGGGAGAGATTGAGCAGCTGAGGACTCTAGACTAACGGAGAGAGAAAGGCTGTGTGCTGGCGGCCAGGAGACTGGCTTGCAGAATGTGCCCTTTGGTTGTTTTAATGATTATATATTCCTGAGTGTTTTTGTATGCATAAAAACAAACAAAAACAAGAAAAAACAAACAGAGGGAATAGAAGCAAATATTGTTAAGTGGAGACAAAGAAACAAACCATATGGTCAATCATTCAAAATCAAAAGAGCAATATATACCTAAGGACAAGGGCTGGGAAGGTGGATGGAATGAATGGAAATCAGAACCACAGAGAGGAAGCCGGATCACTGTTGTTGCAGGGAGGAGACTGCAATCACTGAGATGAAGCACAGTGTAGGATTTGTTGAATGTCAAAGTAATGATCTTGCTTGTAAACCTTCACTCAATTCACAATAAAAGGTTATGAAGACAAATGAAAAAGAGTAGCAGACACAGAGATCCATGGCAGATGCATATACAAGTCCAGGAACTCCAAGGACAGATCTTCCCTGGCCATGTCCCAGATTTGGGCTTCAAGCCTCCAGGTCAGAGAGAACACAGGTGTCCCTGCACGCTGTCTGTGGAACTAGGGACGAGGACACCAGCTCTTGGCCATCCTTCAGAAGGGCCTTGATGTTTGACTCTGATTCCTCCAGATAGCAAGCTCAGGCAGCCCCCGCCAATCCCTCGTCAGCCCCCAGTGCCCTCAGACCACACACAGCTATGCATCAGACCTAGGCAGCTGCTGAAGGTACCATAGCCCTGGGTAGAGACTCAGCAGCCTGGGGCAGGGTACTAGTGGTCTCATGGGAGCTGGGACTCCGGGTACAAACTGGTCTCAGCCTGAGGGGCTAAGGGGTAATCCGGGGCCCCATCTCCTGCCTTCCCGGCCCTCCGCTGACCCACCAAGAGCACTCACCCAGGCCCAGGTTTGAGATGGTCTCTAGGTCTGTGGCGCTTCGAGCCTCAAGGATGGCCTGGGGCAGCCTCAGCTTGAAGGGCAGTAAGTCTCTGTGGGGACATGAGGGTGGGAGGTCATGCCTGGGCATCCCTGGTGAGCAGAGACTTCCCCTGGTGAGCACATGGTCAGGCTTCACCCGGTGAGCACACAGTCAGACTTCACCCGGTGAGCACACAGTCAGACTTCACCCGGTGAGCACACACTCAGACTTCTCCCGGTAAGCACACGGTCAGGCTTCACCCGGTGAGCACACGGTCAGGCTTCCCCTGGTGAGCACACAGTCAGACTTCACCCGGTGAGCACATGGTCAGACTTTACCTGGTGAGCACACAGTCAGGCTTCACCCGGTGAGCACACGGTCAGACTTCACCTTCCAGTGAGCACACAGTCAGACACCTTCCAGTGAGCACACAGTCAGACTTCACCCAGTGAGCACATGGTCAGACTTCACCCGGTGAGCACATGGTCAGACTTCCCCTGGCGAGCATATGGTCAGGCTTCACCTGGTGAGCACACAGTCAGACACCTTCCAGTGAGCACACAGTCAGACTTCACCCGGTGAGCACATGGTCAGACTTCACCCGGTGAGCACACAGTCAGACACCTTCCAGTGAGCACACAATCAGACTTCCCCCGGTGAACACACAGTCAGACTTCACCCGGTGAGCACACGGTCAGGCTTCACCCGGTGAGCACACAGTCAGTCAGACATCCCCCGGTGAGCACACAGTCAGACTTCACCCCGGTGAGCACACAGTGGGGTCACCAGCTCTGTTTGAAGTCTTGAGTCTGACTGGGATCTCCTGGCAGGGACTCAGACGCCTCACCCTTACTGCTGGAGAGGGGAAGGCAGGGGTCTGGACCACATGGTAGGTGAAAGGCAGAATGTTCTCAGCCCCAGGCCTGCTGTTTCTAGGTCAGAGCTTACTTCTAAGGTACAGCCTGGAGTCCCAGGGTGAGTCCTGATTCTATGCCTGGTGCTGGAGGTATTCATGGCCTTCAGGGTATGACTCCCACTCTTCTGCATTGTCCCAGCCGCTCCATTCTCTGGACTGTGTGATGGGGGAATGGCCCCCATACTGGACCCAAGAGAGGACTGAGAGAGTGCATGGACAGTCCTCAGCTCTGTGCTTGCTACCCACTTGTTGTTAACAATCTACTCAACCCTTCCTTGCTTAAGCTCTTTCCTCTTCTCCCCAAACGCTGATTTCATGTACCGTGAAAGCCTACCTATCCATGTCTGCCAAGTAGCCTGAGGATGGGCCTCCACTGGAATCTGGTGGCCACTGTCTGCTGCAGGCCCACCACCCCTGGTCATCTCTCTGTGAGCACTGCGCTGTGAGCCCTCCTGGGGGGCCGCTCTACAGGTCCCCAACACCCCACAGTCTTAACACATCAGAGACTCAGCAAGGATTTGCTGAATGGACTAATGCAAATGTGAGAAACTGCAGGGAAGGAGAGCAGAGCCGAGACCCCCAGATAGAACTTGCAGATTCCACAGGCCCCTGTGCTCAGCAAACAGACTTCCCAGCATGCAGCCGGGACCTTTAACTTTAGAGCCTGAACTCATAGGCACTATATGGGGTACATGCTGTGGAGAAGAGTCAGTTTGACATATTCCATAATTTTTCAACTAGACCTCTAATCCAGCAGCCCACCTCTAGGAATCTAGGCTACAGAGATGATAGCGCCACCTAGTGGACGCCAGTGCATCTCCTTCTTCCCAGAAGGCTGGACCAGGGCCTCTTCTCCATCCTCTCAGAGGTGGACTCTAGGGCTACTTTCTCTGTCCCAGCTGACTGGGGACTGTCCAAGGGCAAGACAGTCCTTGCTCCAGCTACAGTAGCGGACAGGACAGCTTCAGATACAGTGATAACCATATCCTTCCCTGGGTGGTATAAATCATTCACATGCTCAGCTGCTAACTGAAAGTTTGGTGGTTCAAGTCCACCCAGAGGTACTGCAGAAGAAAGTCCTGGCCATTTACTTTGTAACAATCAGCCACGGAAAACTCTATAAAGCACAGTTCTACTTTAACATGCATTGGTTCTCCACAAGTCAGGATTGATTCGATGGCAATTGTTTACTAGTTTTCTGGAGGTGACAGCTCCTTAGTCACATCATGGGGGCAGAGAGAGTTGGGGGGGTAGGGGTTCCTCCTCCCTTCCTTCCTCATTCTGGTTAGAAAGCCCATTTCTGCTCCTCATCTGCCCTGCTCTCCCAGTTCATCTGTGCACAGATGGGTACCCCATCCGATACCTACGGCAGGCTCCCGTCCCCCTTCCACTGTGGCTGAAGAGCCATCTGACTGGGAGCCCACCGCGGCCCTTGCTGAAGGAAGACACTGCAACTCCCAGGCACGGCGTTCAAGGCCTTCCCACCAGGTCTTCCGTGGCCCTCAATGCCTTCTCACCCACAGACTCTCGCCCTTGTGGGGTTAAAGGACTGGCGCAGAAGCAGCTTGACCCTGCTGTTGGACAGACTTGGGTTCAAACCTGACCTGAGACCTGGCTGAGTGACCAGAGGTAGACAACATCCCCCCTGGTCCTGAGTCTCTTCATTCAGGATCTCGGCTGATCTGGGAAGCTAAGCAGAGTCAGGCCTGGTGAGTATTTGGATGGGAGCCTCTTCTCTAAGTAACAAGAGCCTGTTGAATCATTTTCCCATCCTCAGGTGCACCCCTCACTGAAACCCTGGGGCTGGGGGTGCTTACCCTCATGAAGTGGGTCACAGGTAAAGCACCGTCCTGCAGGACCTCAGAGGCTGCTGGACTCACCTCTTATCTGCTCTGCCACCCACCACCTCTCTCTGAAGGGCTGCTTCCTGTGACCCTCAGAGACTGGCCACAGGCAGCAGAGCCTCATGGCCACAAGGAGGGTCACAAAGATTCCACTCTGGGTCCCACCCTGCAGCCAGGCCTGAGCTAGACTCCAGAGCTGCCCAGAGTCTACCCCGACATTGCACCCTTGGTCGGCTTCTCTTCCTTCTCCGTTCTTGCTTACCCACCCCCTTGCTGCTTTCTCCTGGGGTTAAAGCAGGTGAGTCGTCATCTCAAAGACTCCCTCCCCCCAGCTAAGCCATTTGTCTCATTCCCCTAAGCCACTTCCAAGAACTTGGCTCCAGTTTATGACAAGCCCATGCGTGACAGAATAGAACGGCTCCACAGGTTTACTTGGGTATAATCTTTATGGAAGAAAATCACCAAGCCTTTATTTTGTGACTCCTCTGGGTAAGTTCAAACTGACAACCTTTTAGTTATTTGTTGTTGTTGTTGTTATGTGCCATCAAGTCAGTTCAGACTCATAGCGACCCTGTGTAGGGTTTCCGAGGCTGTAAAACTTTATGGGAGCAGAAAATTTCACCTTTCTCTCTCGGAACCACTGGTAGTTTCGAACTTCTGACCTTAAGGTTAGTAGCCTGACTTGTAACCACTACGCTACCAGAGTTCCTTCTCAACTATTTTAGTTAATAGTCAAGGGCACAATGTTTGCACCAAACCAATTCTTTTGTTGTTGTTGTTGTTAGTGACTCAGTTTCTGAGGGGCGGTTGGTGGGTTTGAACTGCTGACTTTGTGGTTAGCAGTCCAGTACTTATCTTGTTACAAATGCAGATTTCTGGGCTCTACTTCAGGTCATCTGAGACAGAGTCTCTGAGGAAGGGCCCAGGAGTCTGCATTTACAGCTAGTTTCTAGGGACTGGAAAATCCCAAGAGTCCACCACCCAGTCCAGAGCATTGAGGTTGGGGATAAGCTTGGGTTGAGTGCCCTGAGAGCAGAACTGCGCCTCTTCACCTCTGACTGAGGACAGAATGCGCCCAGGTCACAGGGCCCCATGTGCATGCTGGGAGGGAGGCTCTGTGCAGAGAAGGGGTGGGCAGGCTTATTCAAGGCTGGTCTGAGTGTTATTGTGTGAAGACACATGTCTCAGTACACAACTGATGAGCATTTATCTAAACACCCCTCTGGGCCGGGCAAAAAGTCAAACACACAATCATAAAACACAACCCAAAAGCCAAACTCACAGCCATCATGTCAGTTCCTACGCACGCTGTTGTTAGGTGCTGTTGAGTCAGTTCCGACTCAGAGTGACCCTGTACACAACAGAAGGAAACACTGCCCGGTCCTGTGCCATTCTCGCGATGCTTGTTGCCTTTAAGCCCATTGCTGTGGTCACTGTGTCCTCATTTTCTGTTTCCTTTACACTGATGTACAATCCATAACGAAGGCGGAAGTCTTTGATCCTTATCAGTAAGTATTTTAAATCCTCTTGGCTTCCAGCAAGGTTGTATCATCTATATATCCCAAGTTGTTAATGAGTCTTCCTCCAATCCTGATGCCAAGTTCTTCTTTGTATAATCCAGCTTGTCGGATTATTTGCTCAGCATACAGGTTGATGGAGCACAATTCAAAATGAGAAGAAACAGCTTCAAACATCCATTAATAATTGGAACATGGAATATGTTGTTGTTGTTGTCAGTTGCCATCAAGTCGGAACCGACTCATAGCGACCCCATGCACAGCAGAATGAAACAATGTCTGATCCTGGGCTAACCTCACTACCGCTGCCACACTTGACGCCATCAATGATGCCACCTGACTGATCCATCTCGTTGGGGGTCTTCCTCTTTTTCTCTGACCCTCCATCTTACCCAGCATGACATCCTTCTCCAGCAACTGTACCCTCCCAACAATATGTCCAAAGTATGAAAGACGAAGCTTAGCCATTCTGGCCTGTCCAAGGAGCACTCTGACTGCACTTCTTCCAAAACAGATCTATTGGTTCTTTTGACAGTCCATGGCACTTTTAGTATTCTCCTCCAACACCACAACTCAAAGGCATCAATTCTTCTACCATCATCCTTATTCACTGTCCAGCTTTCACATCCATATGAGGTTATTGAAAATATCATGGCTTGGGTCAGGTGCACCTTACTCCTCAAGCTGACATCTCTGCTCTTCAATACTTTAAAATGTTCCTGTACAGCAGATTTGCCCAATGCAATATGTCGCCTGATCTCTTGACTGCTGCTTCCGTGAGTGTTGATAGTTG